CTGGCATCGGTTGCCGAGAAAGCTAGAGATCCACGTATTGGTATAGTGCCTTGAAGTTTGTGTAAAAGCAATATATATGAGAAGTCCATCACCAGCATGTCAAGTTGCTTGCGGTTCTCCATGTTGGTCATCAAGTTTTCTACAAATTCAAGAAGCTGCGTCTCACATGATCTCTTGACTCAAACGCCATGTTGACAGTCATCGAGTATATATCGACTTTCAAAACGCTTCTTAACTGCGCTTACGAGTATGTGCTCCAACAGTTTGCATACCACGCTGCTGAAGGATACCGGGCGGTAGCTGGGAGGGTCAGAATGCTCCTCTTTCTTGTAGATTTGCGTGACATGTACTGTTATTCAGTCTGTTGGAACATTGCCCGTGCACAGCGACGATTGTCAGTGCCGGGGCGATTTCTTTGGGCCTATTCTTTGAGCACTCGTGGTTTGACCACATGCTTTTTAGGGATCAATGGTTTTGAGGAGGGCAAGCACACCCTGGCCTGAAATCTGGATATCTTCCATGACGGGATTGGCTCTGTTCATCATGTTGGTCTTCAGAAGGAACTCAGCCTACGAGTATTCTCTACCGTCACCAAAGACCGACTGGAACTGCTGATCGAGTATGTCTGCCTGTGATTTTGGGTCAGATGTCAAATGGTCATCCCACCTCAAAAGGAAGGGAACTCCGGAGTTTAAAGACTTTTGGTTCTTACGTAGCTCCAGAAGAGCTTGTTCTTCAATCTTGACACCCTTGGCCGGAGTATCTTCCTCTGAGAAGATGCCGTTCAGGTAGTTCCAGAAAGATCTTCGCAGTATGCGCTGGATGGTTCGGTGGAGCCTCAGTACCTCGGCTTTCCGTTCAACCGAGCCATTATTCTTCAATCGCTTGTACTGGCGGTGTGGATGAGTTTACCGTGACCCATGGCTGATTTGACTTTCACTGCATTAGTCATTGTTGTATTAAACTTCATCCTCAGCTCTTCTGTTGTCGCTGAACCCGGAATCTCTGAATGTTAGAGCTCAGCTCTGTCGCTGCACATCTCAGACTATCCCAGTCTGCCTTAGCATAAATTGGGATTTCCCGTATGAAAATTGCTTCTTATTTAGTGTTTTGGCGTGAAATTTGTAATATGGTATGCAGTGGTCTGATATTTCTGGGGGATGACCTTAACTTTTGGGAAAGAGATGTGGACAGTTGGTGAGGAGTTGGTCAAGAATGTTTTTTTTTTCCTCTGGTGGGTTCTTTAACCAACTGTTACTGTTACAGGCCATGGTTGTTTATCATGTCCATGAAGTCAGAGTGAAGGACAAGGTATGGGGACTTTGACTTCAAGGCTTCAAGCAGCAGTATTCTAATTCACGTGCAGTTTATGGAATCATTGAAGGAAGATGGTGATTATTTTTGTATAAATGTTGCTTACATCGTAAATTCTCTATTGTTCAGCCGAGGAAACGATTTGGAATCGTTTTACAGTTTTCATTAATTTCTATGTAATGAAAAGTTAAAGCAAATGGAGAATTAGCCGGAACTTGACTCTGAAAATGTGCATTGTGATCTTCATTTTATAACATCACAGAGCACTTGAATTAATTAAAAAAGAAGAAAAAAGCCTCAAGGAAAACTAAATATAAATACAAATGTGGGTCAATAAATAAATTCGCTTTTTTTTTTTAAAAAAAGTTCAAAATGTCGAAAGGGTATCTGTACAGAAAGGGTATCTGTACAGTGTTTCCTTGCGGTGTCAAGTTAACTGTGAGGACAACGATATTGTCATTTCATTTTAATTACTACAGTTCGAAGTAGGCACGTTTCTGGTGTATATAATTTTTAAAAGCCGGCAATCGGTCATGGGGATCGCGGTATCAGAGGTTAAGTGGCAGATTTGGCCGCCTTTTGTGCTCAGGGTATCAGGGTTCGGGGACTTAAGAGAATCGACTTAACCGAGGAGAAAAATGCTAAGACAAAGAGAGGATTTGGCGGTTCCACTTTCCAAACGTCGTCGTAACAGGGTTGGCGAGTTAACCGAGGTCGCGCTAAGAGTAAGAGGGTTCATCTGTACAACAGAACAAAAAATCAGTTTGCTAAAAACAAAATAATGGAAGCAACAATGAAAAACTTTGTCGAAATTTAGAACTCACGACAATTTTATACCGCTTGTCAACAACTGTCGAACTGTCAAAGTAGCTCCTCTTAATTGAGTATGTCTGACCGTCAACAATTGGTTAACCTCCTGCGCCCCCCCCCCCTCCCAAATAATATGAAGAAACACTGATTTTTTAAAAGGATTAAGATATAGATCTTAACATCGGTGGGAATAAAAATTGATTACATTTTTTTTAAATATAAAAAAAACTTTCTTTAACAAATTTTATATTTGTAGCAACTGGGATCTATGACTAGGATCAATTTTTTTTATTGCAGAAACTATTAAAGAATCGGCAAGGTCTAAATAACTTTATCAGCAAATGTATTGCTATTTTGTTTTTCATCTTAACGCTGATAAGCCAAATGTCACCTTCTTGCAATATCGCATAGCAGCGGTGTTTTTTTTTTTTTTTTCTTCATTTCAAAATTAATTTTATTATGGAAATGGCTGACATCGGGACGTCGAACCATTTTTTGCGATCTTTTTTTCCAGATTTTCCCTTACTTTTCTTCGCTCATTTCCTTTAAACTTTAATCATTTTTTCTTTTTTATTTTTTTTTTTTTTTTTTTCTTCATTTCAAAATTAATTTTATTATGGAAATGGCTGACATCGTGACGTCGAACCATTTATTGCGATCTTTTTTTCCAGATTTTCCCATAATTTTCTTCGCTCATTTCCATTAAAATATAAGCATTTTTTCTTTGTTCAGTAATTGCCATCATCCCTCTCTTGGTAATTTTTTCCCACATTCCTCATGCTGTCCTCTCGGATGCACTGCTTTATTGTTTTTATTGTTGTTTGTTTGCTAAATAAGGCTGCTTGCCGACACATTTGTTGCTTTGTTTCGTCCCTTTTTTCCAGGTTTCTCCACACTTTTTCGCTCATTTCCTGTTACCTTACTTGATTGCAGACTATCCTCCTCATTACGATTTTGTCTCCCCATTTTGGGAGCAGGGGGTACAGTAGAACCTGTCATAACGAGTTTAATTCATTCCAGACTCTTACTCATTAAGCGAAACACTCGTTAAACGAAACAATTTTTACCATACAAATCAATGAAAATACGATACGGGTAATGCGTTCGTTCCATGCTGAAAAAATACTAATTTTTCAAAAAATTTTATTAACATTTATTCAAATAAAATTACTTATGAATTGTTAAAGAGTGTAACAACTTGGAATACAATTTAGATTTGAAACAAAAAACTCTAATAAAAATATGAATTTATGACAAATAATTAATCCTTTTTAACTAGAAAACTGTCTGAAGACATTTGTTTTTGCAGACGCTTCAACTTCAAAATGTGTCACAGCATTATCGTTGAATAAATTTGTAGCACGAATAGCCACGCTCACACATTGTTCTGGCTTTTCAATGATTTTACGTTTAATTTCAACAGTTATTTTTTCTCTTTTATGATTGTCTTCTTGTGTATTTTTTTTCCGAAGACATTCTAGCATAGGCTATTACACTTTGCACATAAAAAAGTTACGAATACTGTATGAATACAAATTTGTAAAAACTGGTGATCACACACGAAAACAATACGCTAACAGACCTAGTGCTACTGAACACAGACTAATGCAATGGTTCTCAACCTTCCTATTGCCGCGACCCTTTAATACCGTTTCTCGTGTCTTGGCGACCCCCCAGCAACCTAATTATTTTCGTTGCTACTTCATAGCTGTAAGAATATGTGTTTTCAGATAGTCTAAGGCGACCCCTGGAAAAGGGCCACGCTACCCCCCAAAGGGTCACGACCCACAGTTTGAGAACTGCTGGACTAATGCATCGGCGCGGAAGTCCCGGCTCACAAATGAATGTCAGGAAAAAGGGACTTCCCCTTTCTGCGTAACTCGTTATGCGAAATATCGCTCGTTAAGGGAGCAACTTCTACACATTTTTTTGTTTTGCTTGTTATGCGAATTACTCGTTATGAGAGGTAATTAGGTACTCTGCATTTTCTGGTGCTAATCTGATCATTGAAGTTACACAAATTTTGCATAGCCATTTAAATTAACACATATTTTGCAACAAAATATGGTAATTATGTATAATTTGTAATATATAGATAGATATAGATATAATTATATCACAGAAAAATAATTGTTGACGTCATTTTCTGTTGACTTCCCTTCACTCCCCCTTGTCAACAATTGGCAAACCTCCCCCCTCCCCCATTTTATGGACTTAATTAATGGACGGCCCCTTAACTGAAAACTAAAAAGAGTTCAACAAAGAGCATCATGACAGAAATATATACTTTTACAAAAAATTGTTATTTTTAAAAATGGATTCGATTTCATAGACTTGGAGCCTTTCTGAAATAAACAATCGTATGTTTCATTGTTAGAAATAAACGTGCTCTCTATTTGACACTCCCCCCCCCCCGCACTGTAACGTCATGGAAGTGTTAAATTTAGATCTAAATGGGCATCGAATAATAAATAAACTTTAAAGCCGAAAGGCACATGTCCTAATGGCCACTGGATCTGAAAGATGAAGTGAACTGAATACCAAAAATACAATTTACATCTATAAACAATGTAATTTAATGGTCCACGGAAATTAATAATCCCTCCAAATGTGTCCCTGTTGTATTACATTATTTTCAAACGTGCGATTGGGGCAATAGTGTAGATTGGCAAACTTCATGGTGGTGGGGATTTGAATATATTTGTTTGGATATTTGTGCGTTATGTTTTTTTTTTAGTCATGAGCTATGGAAAAATATATTGGATATTTTAAAATATCTGTACCGTCTGTTCCAAACCGGAAATGTTTTAGTTAAAAATATGGTAGTTGTAGTCCCCCCTTGTTAGAATTTCATCATGGCGGGGGTTTCTAGGAATTCGAAAATGTTTTCACACGACATAGTATTTGATGGAGCATTAATGTCAAATACTAGGGCTTCCCTCGTAATAGAACTCATTAAGTATTTTCTGTATGAACGTCAGCAGATACCACTCCCTTTAGATCAACTGAAATCTCATATTTGCGATTTTGGCAAAAAATCTAACTGCAGACAGAATGTACCACCCACTATCACTAGTACTAGTACTAACGCTAGCACAACCATGGCCACAACATCTAGTACTACTGATGCTGACAATCATCAAAGCGATATTGCTGTTAATTGTATGGAGCCAAATAATTCCAATGAGAGTTCTAATTTCCAGCAGCAGAGAGTGATCAAGACCGTTTGTGACAAATATCTTGATGAAGAAACCTCTTTTCCTGAGAAAACTGTTGGTGCTAATCAATACCTACCACAACCACCTGTTGAACAGATGAATGGAAAAGCTACGGCTAAAGTAATTATTTTTTAAAACTTTTATCCATTTGATTTAGATATAGAAAACTATTGACTAGTTATCTAAATGCTGATTGTCACTCGTATCTTAAATTAGCTTACTTACCTAGCTTTTTAACAAACCAGTTGGCCTGAGCCTGAATTGGTGTGACGTTGGTGAAAGTCAAGTCAAGTGCTGACCTATTAGTATAAGTTACAAGTTAATAGCTTAACTAGGCCTATCTAATAATATGACTTAATTTTTGTAGTAGTTGAAATCTGAGTGAGATAAATCCCAATTTCACCTATATTATTATTCGAAGTGTCTACACGTCCGGCGCGCCGGACAAATAGTGCGCAAGATATACGTCCGGCGGCATGTCACGTGACTGCCGGACGGCTAGTAGTTTTTATAATCTCGAACGAAATGCAAAGTAGTAGATCTTGTGTGGTCTACTGGTAGAGTGGTCGCTTGACTTTGACGATATTATGATTTGAGGATCAATACCGGGGATAGGATTGTTTTTTTTCTTCCCATTTTAATTAAAAATATTTTATACTATATTTAAATTATCATGTTCATCAGCTACAGTAGTTTCATGAGAAGTTTTTAAATATTTTGTAGCAATTTAAACAATTTAAAATGAAATCTTTGACTTTTATTGGTTGCCCACTCCATACTGCCCCTAATTTATTTTATGGATTACTGGTACACAAACTCAAATAGCAAACTAAACAAAAATGTTTACAAGCCACTTTCACTTCAGTTTTTTTTTCTATTATTTGCATGCAAGATGTACATTACTTGGTAGAGAAATAGATTTTAAAATTAACAATAGTTTTGAATCATTCGCTGTAACGTGATAAGGCTGATGGACAAAATATCTCTCACCACTTTGTTACGGTGGTCATGTGACCTGGTCGCCGGACGAATATCTCGATAAAGTATTCTTCCGGCGGTCATGTGACGTGGTCGCCGGACAAATAGTGCGGGAGATATACGTCCGGCGCGCCTGACTTGTAGACACTGACATTATTATTATATTAGGACTATACTATAGGCAAGTAGGCTTATCATAGCTAAATTATGCTTCAGTATCAGCATGGCATATATTTTCAGAAAGTGTATTTTAAGTGTCCCTCATAAATCATCAAGTGTATAATAATTATTATAAGCCTAGAAGAGGTTATGACACTGACCTCTAATTCTAATAATCTAGGCGATCGAAAAGTTATTATATGAAAAACAGCTGGCTGGTGATATGATTTCTGAGACAATAATTTTTGAAAAAGCCAAGGTTCTCCACGATGAATTAATAAAAGGCATCCCTGTTACTAGTGCTCAAAGGGAGGAGTTTAAAGCCGCTAGGAATTTAAGCCAATAGAAACTAGTTCTCAGTAATTTTATGAAAAGGACTGGGATCAAGAACGGATTATTCCAGTTTCTATTATTTAAAGGGGAAAAACTGTTTTGGAAACTCGAACAGAGTTTCAAGAGCAGATTAAGTTGGGATTCGAAGGTACCACAATATATGGCTACCTGGGCTACCTCTCTATAAATTGGTAGCATTTTAAAATAGTAATATTCATTAGCCTTTACTTGCACCACTTAATGAGCAGTAAAATCAATATCATAGTCATAATGAAAAGAACAACTTGTCAGACCTGGTTATTCTAATATTCTTATTTGATTTTTTCATACAATCTATATATGATGTTGATTTATTTTTATTCAGTTGTATTCTAAGACCTGTCAGAATTGTGACAGGGTTAGTAGTTTTCTAAAAATACAAAAAAAATAAATATTACATTTTCAGTTGCTTTAACTACTTTCTTCAAATGGTTATGAATGGACGGGAAATATTGTTGGTTTTTACACACCGAGAGGGGAAGTGGTTAGTTTTGATTTAGGAGACATTTCTTACGTTCGTGCATGGAGAGAAGTAGATACCTTCTTGCTCCTTATATTTTTTTAAAGGCCACAACACCCCAACATTTTGTAAAAATGGTTATGATCATTATTTTTTTACTTTGTGTTTTCAAAATGAACTTGTTTAATACTACAACAGTAATTTTAGCATAAACACCCTATAACAACTTTGCTTTTATCACGGAATTATGTGATTTAATTATTTCATTTGGCTAAACCGAGGTGATAGTAAAATTGGAGAAAATCTAGCACCCTCCCCCATTTTGAGTACCGGTAATTGAAATCTATTTTTAGAACAGCTGTAATATTCTGATACCTGATTGGTTTCAACACTTTTCCTCTTTTCTTCCCCCCATTCAGTTTGTGGTAGTTATTATACTATAATTATAAGTTAATTGGAAATAAAAGCTTAATAGATAATGATGTTTATATAGCATAAAAAGAAAGCTTTTTCCTAAAAATCAACCTCAAGTAATTTGGTGGGTTTTTCAAATGATGTCCTATTTCAATTATATTTCAAATGAATAATATTTCAATAAATTTTATCTTAAGCCGAACTGACTTCACGTTTGAATCACATTAAATTTCAAAAGTAACTTTTTTCCAGACATTTTGATAATGTGATCAGCACTTACGCCTACATGTTAATTTATATCTATAGCAGATATGTGCAGTTTTGTAGCTAGGATTAGTGCTACCAGGAGTGGGACAAGATTTGTGTCAACCCCTTTTACAAAAAAAAAACAAAACAAACTCTGCAGTTGTCAGAATATGCAGTCCTTACTTATAAATGACAAAAGTGCAGCACGGGGGTGGATTACCCCATCCGCATCCCCCTTCCTATGCCACTTTTATTAAACCACCTTAACCTGTCAAGAGTAGTTGTTGAATACATTATTATACTGTATGTTTCATTCCTGATTACTGTTACAATTTTGGCGTACAATGTCCGATAGTAAGATGTCTTTTATGATTGTATGAGACCTGTCAGATCTATGATTTTAACAATTAAAAAATATTCAGGAGGCTTTTACAATTAAAAAATATTATGAATAAATACATTTTCGGTTGTTAGTTTTAGCTCCAGTGGTGTATGAACAGAGAAATAAAAATAGCTGGGGACCATCCATTATTATATTATTTTATTACGAAGGCACTGAAGGAGGGTAGAGTTGACTTGGAAGGATACAGGTGTGCATGGGCTGGAGTTGGAGGTGTCTCAATATTTTTTAAAGGGTATAAAATAATACCACGACGTTTCACAATGATCACCATATTGTTGCTTTGTTTTTTCACAATATCCTCTCGCTAGATAACAGTAATATTTAGCATATTCCCCATACTGACAAATTTATTAAACATTCGCTTTTCGTCATTTTTGTTTGCTTGGTGCTGTATGACGTAATTTTTTGGCTTAATTATTTCGTCCTTTTACTGAATGGGGACCACTGCGAAAATGAAGAAAACTCAGAATTTTTAAAAAAATGCATTCTTAACTGCTCTGCACAGCAAGATTAGATTTTGAAATACTTTATAAGATCTAGTAAACGAATTTTGAAATCTATTTTTAGAAGTCATTAAGCAGCTGTAAATTTTTAATACAGCAGCACTCTTCTCCCAATACAGCTTACATTAGTTATTAGACTTAAATATGTTAACAGACAATAAAATCAGGCTCCTAGACTTAATGCATGGCTGAGCAAACTGCCACATTAAATAATGTGGCCAGCCGGAAATATCACAAATTAACTTATTATGTACCTGCCCCATTTTGGACTGATTTAAAAAATAGTTTGAAATAAGTTATGAATTATAAAACAATTTGAATAAATATAGATTTATATAAACACAGGTAAGGGGCAACTAATTTTCCACAAGCATTATAATTAAATTTAGAATGTAGCAAAACTATATTCAGGTATATGGTAAACTACATCCCTGCATTTTTAATTTTTAAAAAAAATTCTGGGTAGTGGGATCAGCTTCCTACCCAAACCCAACCCCCGCTTCTGCATAGGTCACTTCAGCAGGTGTCCTCAATTTCCACTCCTCCACCACCATTTCATCTATCAAAGTGGCAAATGACGGGCATCTTTTTTTTTCTTTTTTTTTTTTTGGTGCTTTAAATGAAATAGTAGAACAAGGTGTATGGAAGCTTGAATCAAGACAGAACACTAGTTTTTGAATTTACGACTAAGAGCCTTCCTCAGCAAACAGGACAAATAAAAATACGACAAGAAACAGAGCACAGTTAAAAACTTACGTGATCGTTATTGTTGTTGCTGAAAGTAGGATTTTTCAAAACCAAGATTATAGGAAGTGAAGGAATATATAATTTTTTATATATATATTGTTAGTGTGAAAAATAAGGTTTATCTAAAATCTTAACAGACCAAAATATTTTAAAGATACATAAAAGAAATTTTAAAAAAGAAATACAGGGAAATTGAGAATCATTAGTAGGAGAGTATTTGATTCATTCCATATGGTGATATTATTGTGCTGAAAAGCAGATTCAAGCTTCCACAGACCTTGTCCTTCTATTTCATTCACACAGCTTAAATGCAGTCCTTCATTTATTATCCCTTATTTTCAATAAAGCACTGTATATGGATATATCAACATCAGTCTTCTACATTTATTAGACATGCAATGCGAATAGTTAATGTACACATTATAGTGTATGTTTATTTATTTACTATTACAATCGTAAAGTACTATTCCGAAACTATATTGTACTATTTTGGGAGTTCCAGTGTATCCAGGTCTGATGTATATTTATTTACTATTTTGAGAAAATTTTAACTAGAATTAGTCAGTCTGTATCCTTGAAGTTTTCAATTTCAGTTATTTGTATTTTTGTCCACACTAAAGAGATATGTGGACTATTTTGTTCTGATTTTAAGATTGTTCTGAATGTTTTATTGTTAGTAATGTTACTTTTAGTGATATGAAAGGATTGATTTTGACAAGTTTCATTATTAAATTGTAAAGAATGGAAAATCGATTTAATTCCTTTGAACCTTTGCCTATATAATTAAATAATATAAATTAAAAATATAGTAATTGTTAACATATACTATTTTTTAATGATGGAGGTTGTCACTTCTATTTAACCCCGTCAACTGATTTTTTAAACTCTGCTCTTATAAAAATTTTGGTTTCCAGGTAACTGTTACACTTGATCAGAACAAAGTTGATGAGACCCAGGAATCTAACAAAACAAGTACTGATTTCATCCATAAGTTTTCAAAGAATGTTAGTTTGGAAGGACGTCTTAAACAACACATCAAGTCACAGAATGGTGTCATCCATGGAAAAACAGAGAAAGCAAAGGTAAGATTCAAACCCTGAACCACTATTGAATAAAACTATTGACCCTTTCATAGATTTTTCTTGAACTCTCCACAGCATCCATTATTTTAGTTTTAGTTGATTTCATATTGTTGTTCACTTGTTTGGTTTGCTGAAGAAGGCTTTTTGCAGACATATGTCAGTTATTTCATCTTTTTTTTTCTGGTTTACCCCTACCTTGTGCTACTTAATTCCTCTTGCTTAACCTGATCAGAGGTACACACCCCCCCCCCCCCCCCCCCCCTCAACCTCTTATTATCCCATGCTAACATAATTTATTTCAAGCTTGCTTGCAAACCTCAAAATACTTTTTTTTTTTTTTAAATTTAATTTATATAATTTGAATCAAATTTTAATGAGGGCGACTGTTTAAACATGGTTAGTTATAAAGTAATATGGAGGCATGAAAAAAAAATCCATCATGATTTTCATTTGTTTAATACCTTAAGTCCCTCTACCAGGTATGTATATGAACAGCAGACCATTGATAAATTTATGCTGTGATATTCCTGTAAATCATAGAATGTCTAATGCTATATTATATATTATTTCACTAGGCTGTCACCACTGGGATGATAAGAACCAATCCAACAGAATGGAAAGTAAAAAATCTAATTAATGATTTGACACAAATATTTGAACATTTGGAGAAGGCATTTGTGCTGTGTCCTGAAATTGAGCAGGTCAGTCCCACATTTCATTATATGATTGTTTTTTTGGAGCATTAAATGTTGAAAAGGGAAAAAGAGTTATTATGATTTAAGGATATTTTAATCAGTATTTCACCAAGTGGATTTGAATGCCTTAGGGCCATTTGTGTGGTTTTAGGTTTATGCTATTGACAGTTATTTTAGGAAGATTCATATTTATTTAATATATGAATTTAATTAACGTTCGCAATATAATAGCAAAAAATTTGAACTTCATTTTAACTAATCGGCCAGTGGCAATATGACAAAGCACACACTTTTGTGCTCTTGAAATGTTATTTGAAAAAATAATATTAGCAGACATATAGAGAAGATCTGATTTTTTTTAAATTGTTAAAAGTGTCCTTTTAAAATTCACTAATTAAAAAAGGATTGGACAGCGATGAAGCTTTAAAGTGGATTAATTTTTAGGTATAGATAGGGTATAGATATATAATGTAAATTTAATTTAAAATTATATTAATTTTTGTTTGTTTGTACTGATGCAAAAAATTTTCCAAAATGTTTGAATTTGCAATTTGTCTAATCGTAAATAAAGTGTGACATTTATTGTTTTATTTACAGAAATTATTTTCGCCTCAATGATCTTTTAAAATAGTACCGGTACGCTAAATTTATTTTTTGAAGAAATGGAATAATGTTTGTTACTGCAGCTTTTGTTTTTTTATATTAATTTGTATTCCCGGTTTCACAGGTGATAGTGCTATTTGGTGGAACAATTTTTAGCCCAAAGGAATCTTATCTCATTAATTTTCCACCACCTTGTCCGGATGCAGATTGTCTACCACTTGCAGCATGCCAGAGAACTCTATTTAAACATGTAAGCCCTTTATTCCTTATGATATTCTTTGTTTAAGTGTTTTATTTTTTTGGGGGGTTAAAATGAATGTGACTTTAACTGTAAGAAAGAATAATCCAATGCACCAAGAGCCTGCATTACCGTTTTACATATGACAAGAACCGGCATTACTGTTCTACATATGATAAGAGCCGACATTACTGTTTTACATATGACAAAAGCTGGCATTACTGTTTTTACATGACAAGAGATGGCATTACTGTTTTACATATGACAAAAGCGAAAATTACTGTTTTACATATGACACAAGCCAACATTACTGTTTTACATATTATATGACACTAGCCAACATTACTGTTTTGCATATGAAAAGAGCTGAAATTCCTGTTTTACATATGACTAGCTGGCATTACTGTTTTTACATATGATAAGAGCTGGCCTTGCTATTTTTACATATGTGCTATACATTTAATTTTTTTTTATATAAACATGATCATTAAGACAAGTTTACATCTGCCGGACATTATGCTAGACCTTATATATAATCATGCATTGAAGCTTTTTTTTTTAATTTGCCAACAGATCATTGGTGAGGATATCCTGGGAATGTTCAGCTCGAGCGTCTCTCCGACGAACATGACACTTTTGTTATCCGCTCCAAGGTCGTGCCCGCTTAACTGGTTTGTACCTAAACAGTCTTTCACTTCCCCACGGACTGGATCCGTTGTGACCTTCAATTTTAAGTGCACTTACTTGGTGCCCATCTGTTGTGACTTGAGTTTTGTGGAAGGGGACCTGGAGTTGTCAGGGATCGAGCCCCTGGACTGTTCATTGTGTGAGGCTGTTGACCATAAAGGTGTAGCTGATGGAAGCTGTCAGCGTGGTCAAGCCGGAGCTTCAAATGTTGGGCAAACTGACATCGATTTACATTTTAAAGAACAATGTTTGGAAGTTGCTGCCTCGGCCGGGTCAAACATCCCCGATATGCAAGTCTCCATCAATGCATCCTCACAGTTAGCTGACCTGCCCCGTTTTTGTGCCCACCAGAAAGTAAATTATATTTACAGTCATCGCAAGAAGAAGAGGGCGGTGAATTCCAACACACCTGAGCCAATGATGTCCAGCACACAAGTCCAGCAGACCATTACAAACAATAATGAAACAGTGTCCAGTGAGTTGGTGGGCAGAGATTTTATATGGTATCAAAGCCCTCTGGTGATAAAAGGATGCAAAGCCCACCAGCTTACTTCTGGCACAGAAAAGTGTACGCCATTCATGTGAGGAGGTCCACCCCAGACCCACTGGACCACACAGAATCCTTAGGAAATAAAGATTTTATTGGCACTTTTTTGTTGTCAGCCAATCCTATATCCACTTGAGAACGATGTCGCTGGTTCTATCCCAGTAACTAGATGCCGATCACTATTGGATATTTATTAAAAAAATGTTCATTATTTAATTTAAAAAACAATTAGATTACGCTGTCCTCAAAACATATTTTTATGTCAATGAATCTTTTCAGTTATGCTTATCACAAGCATTTACTCTAACTTAATCTAAGTGTATATTTTGTCTCTTTATTTATTGCAAATGGATTTTTAAATAAAATTATGCCATCTCAACAATTGTTAATAGTCACTCTTTAGTTACAGTCACGCTATAGTTAACAGTTGGAGTTTTTTTACATGGGGAAAAGATGTGTAGTATGGTTTTAAAATAAATATTTTATTCTTTGAATGGATGTACAGTTGTCCATCAATGCCACTGTTAATTATGTCAAACTTTTGTCTCTGCCATATATTCATGATCTGGCACAGTGTTCTCAAGTACTGTGGAACCCAGCTACCATGGGATGATTGGGCTCTATCAAATTGAATCTTGACAATATGATGTTTCTATAATTTGGTTGGTGAGTGATGTGATGCTAAAGTTGAACTACGGTAGTTTTTTTGTGTGTAGCTTTGTGATTTTCTCCACACAAAAAATTCATGCGCAAAGCAATTAAAATGAATATTTTGGGAGCCATGCCACAACCATGTTATATACAAACTCGCATTAAAACAAGGTTCCCTTGTATGTTGAAATAATAATGCGCCTCTTTACTGGAGAGTATCCACTGAATATTTCAAGTGCTCTCAGTTTTAAATGGTCAACTTTACACTGAAGGAAATTAGTGGTCTACTTATTCAAGTGTGTGTACTGGGACTGATTGATCCCAAGCAACATTTTCATGTTTGTCTCAATAGAAATGATCTACACTTTGCTTGTTAGATTATCTATTTTGACATGATTAGAAAAGTTTGTCCTATATTTATAGTACTATATTTTCAGTTTTATTTTAATGAATTTATGTTATGCACTTATAATTGAATGTATTTATTAATTTTTTACCCAATGACAAGTCCTTTACTTGAACTACTGAATTGGCTGAAAGTGGCAGGCCCATCAAAATCCATGTCAAATTTAAGGCACAAGAGAGAAATAGTAATGATGTCATTATTTTTTTTATAACTGAGCGAGCGAAGCAACAGTGGTTAATGGTGCCACCATCCCCCCCCCTCCCCCTCCAAATATCATTTTCACTGCACATGGAATAAAAAATGTTCCTCTGACAATCAGTGTTATACACTGGATCATGGTTAAAACATAACTTGCCAATAATATTTTTTTTTTAGATTATTTTTCTTAAATGTACAAATTTGTATCTCTTTGTCATTCCGATGTGATGCATCTGTCACAGCTATGCTCCACCAGACTCTACTGTCGGCGACACCACTTCCACCAAGGGTCCTGTTTGCTAGGATGCGGCATGTTAGTGAAGACACCTCTGGCTTTCGTGCCGTCTGCCCATTGCCTATACCATTTTGATCGAAAATGGTCCACCAGCCAGTTTTTAATACAGAGATAAGTGACTGGTACATCTGGCCGAGGTTGGGTAGCCATGATGTCGGCCAGTGTGTCTGCTATTTTGTTCCCCCTGACATTTAAATGACTCAGTATCCATTGCATAGTTACCGTTCCTCTGATCTTGCCTATGTCATCTAAGATGGTGCCAACTAGATGAGTGGTACCTGCCTCCTTACTCCAGATTTCAAGTCGGAATGGATAACAACGTCGAGCTCCACAAGCTCCCACCTCTGAAGAGTGTAATACATTTTCTTGGGCCCTGTGTATAGCCTCTAGCTCCGCATCAAAGTTTGATGCTGTAGTCCCACAGGGTCCTGAAAGTTTCTCATTTGGTAGCCCTCCAGTTGGGTATAGGATGAACGCACCATACCCTGCATTTCTTTCTCTCGTGTTGGCCGACCTGTCCGTGAAAGTTGTCAGTGAAAACTTTCACTGGCGTTTCCACAAACCCCTTGCATGTTCTCAAGGGCAGCCGCTTTCTGAACATGTGCAGGGCCGCGTTTCCTCACTACTGTGTCGGTCAGAGCCAGATGTATAATGGAACGATGTGGAGCGGGCCAGGGCTGTACATTGGCTGTGGGGCCACTGATGGTGACTTCTCATACTCATAGATGAATTGCGATCCAAGGTTAAAGAGTCCCATACAACCGGGATGCTGGAGTTGTTTTTGCTTGTCTACAAGTCCACTAGCTTGAGATTGACTCAGTTTAGATCGCTAGGCAACCCAGCTGAAATGATTCCAACATTTCATATGACATTATGAACTCTTTTGCCGTTTGGTCTCTTTCTAGTTGTTATTTGGTATGTTTCATAATGCTGGTACCCTTGGGGTTTCACTGGGATTTTCCTCTCCCATGTATTGAGAAGGTTCTCTGCTCTTCTGTTAAGGGTCCAAGTCTCACTACCGTAAGTTACTACCGGTATTATGATAGTGGTGGATATTTTCTTCTTTGTTCCCATTGGGAGGTTTTAGCTTCCCAGTAGCTTTTGTATGCTGAAATAGGCACGGTTGCCTTTCTTTCACCTCCAACATTATTTCATTGTACTCGTTTAGAGTTGCCCCTAGATATTTGAATGTAGCCCCTCTCTCAAACTTGTGGTTGTTTTTATTGATGTTATCAGCGTGGGAGATTTGTGACATTATCATATATTCTGTCTTTGGTTCATTTACGTCAAGACCAGCTTTGATTGGGACATTTTCAAGTTCCCTGAATGCTTTAATTATGTCATTGCTGTTTCTGCCCAGTAGCGCTATATCGTCTGCGTATGCCAGGTACTGCAATGGCTGGCTAAATAAGGTTCCTGATGGTTGTTGTTCTGTAATACCTCTATGGAACTCACTGGAAGTAGCTTGATATGGTTCCACTGGTGCTCACATGTATGCTTCTAATAACTTTTTCTAGCATGATGTTAAAAAGGATACATGATAGTGAATCTCTTTGTCTGAGGCACTGGGAACTCCCTTGAGTATTCTCCCTGCACCTTGATTCTACTTTTGGAGTTAGCCATCGTCATATGAATGAGCATCTATGAGAAGGCAAACTCTGAAATCAAACCTGGAAATGGAGTCCAGTACGTGTAATGAAAATTTTGGCAACTTTTGCGATGTGCAATGCATAAATAGCCCCACTTTGGTGTCCCCTTTAAAATTTACTTTAATTATTTACATAAATATTTAAAAAGATCATTTATGACCGGTAAAAGTAAAAAATATAAGGTATACTTAACTGACCACTGTACTGATCTGTAGCAAACATCTCTATATTTAAAACATACGTGCCTAAAGCTTTGTTTATCGAATGTCAGTTTTGCTTACCCTTGGATATATATGTGATTCAGCACAAATATATATAATGCAACTGCTGAATCAATTTATTTAAATGAAAAAAAATATTTACACAAAGGATTTGTTGGGGCTCTTATTACTTGTCTTATATAATATATGTCATTAATTCTGGAAATTACATTGCTAGATATAAGAACATAATAATAAAGACCTATTATGTTTATTTACTCAGGCACAGCTTTTTTCTTTCACCATGTATGTTGTATTGTTACATTTGAAAGATGGGAGAATGAGATGAAATGTATGCTGCCTTTTGTAAGACAACAGAATGAGATGAAAGCATGTTACATTTGTAAGAAAACAGAATGAGATGAAAGCATGTTACATTTGTAAGACAACAGAATGAGATGAAAGCATGTTACATTTGTAAGAAAACAGAATGAGATGAAAGCATGTTACATTTGTAAAACAACAGAATGAGATGAAAATATAGTACAATAATTACAGTTACATGAGTAACTTAACAAAATGAGATGAAAGTATGTCACATGGTCAGACATTAAAATGATATGGATTGGAAGTATGTCACATTGTTAGAATATGTTTAACTATATTTTTATATTTATATCAACAATTATTACTTAAAAAATGGGTGAGATCTTTTTTGCCATAAATCTGCTACCGTACATTTTTTAAAAACGAATCTGGTGTTAGTTTAGAAGAATTCTTTAAATCTGGAATAAAGAAGTCCAGGAATATATCACATCAAATACAAAAATCAACTGAAATCAAACTTAGTTTTGTGACAAGATTATCAAAATATTACAGACCTAGGTACAACCAACTCCATCATGACCAACCTATGTACAACCAACTCCATCATGCCATCCTATGAGCCGCCGACTACAAAGTGACAACCCTGTGTGCAGTGTTTTCACCTCAGATCTTTTATAGTTAACAAATTTACAAACCTCAATATTTTTTATTTTGTCTCCAGACATTATTTTGTGATTACAAACGTATTAAAGTTTAAGTATTGCCTTTTGTCTCCCTT